GTCTTGTTGCTGTCTGAACGCCAGAGGGCGCTGCTCCCTTGCTTCTGGGATCATGGCGGCAGGTCTGCTCAATGTCAAAAAACCTGACAGGTCTGGCATCCTGAAATAAAGCCAAATGTTTTAATCCAGACATGAAGTACTTGGCCCTTTGCAGTACATTCAGGTCGTTATCAGGGAGCTGCCTCAGAACCCTCGCAAGTTTGGTTTAAATACTTTCTAAGGAGCAGAGTTTTCAGGGTGTAAGAGCAGGTTCTAAGCAGAAGAAACACCAAGCCTTCTGTGAGGGAGTCAGACAAGTTAAACCAGACGCTGTTTTTGAACTCTGGCTCAAGAATTACCTCAGAAACACGGGTTGAATCTCCATCCTCTGAAGCGCCGCAAACAATGCCACCCTCAGGCCACAGTTTCCCACAGGCTGTGTGCTAGCCTTTGGTTCCCACCTGAGAAAAAGCGGTGGGAACTTCTGGAGTTAGGACTGAGCTTCGGGAAATTAGTCACTTGGTGGTGGTAGAGGGGGCATCTTTGGCGTTACACCTGATCCACAGTCCCCTCTCTCTTTGCACCTCAATGTTCCAGCAGCCTTGAAGGCCTTGCTGCCCAAGGACATGTGACCAAGCCACTATGGACTGAACTCTCTGGAACACAAACTAAATGAATCGTTCCTACCTTAAATTGCACATGTCAAGAGTTTCTCAACAAGATTTCTCCCTGACCAATCCCATTCCCAGAGCCTCTCTTAAGGACAACTGTGTCTTGGTCTGGAGTCTTGTTTTGGGAAGGTTTCCTCTTTGTGAATTTGGCCACAGCCAGAATCAGGCTATAGAGAAAGCACCTATTAAGAAAGTGAAAAACTACAATATGAATATGACTGTGTGTGTGTGCGTGCGAGTGTGTCTTTGCACTACAGCTTTTCTTATTTTGTAAATAGATCAAGTTTATCATAAATGAGACGCGCAGAGCTATCAAATCAGGTCTCAGCAGGATATTCATGAGAAAATATTGGTAGTGGTTGTTTTGAAAATAACATCACATTTTTAAATGAATTAATATTTTTTTTTGATACAGGGTCTCACTCCACAACCCTGGCTATCCTTAAACTCACTGTGTAAGGCCTCAAACTCGCAGAGGCCAGCCTGCGTCTGCCTCCTTGAAGGCTGGGATTAAGATGAGTGTTACAATGCCTGGTTTAGTTTTTAGCTTTTATCGTGTTTGGGGGCAGGTTGCACCATCACATGTCTGTGGAAGTCCTAGGATACCCGGCATGTGTCACTTGTGAATGTCATAGGATACCTGGCATGTGTCAGCTCTCTCCCTTCCCCAAGTGGCCCTGACATGCCATTCAGGTCGTCCCGCTTGGCTACGAACGCATTTCCATGATGAGTCATCTTGCGGAAACCACAACCACATTTTAAAAATTATTTTTATTACTTCTTTTATTTTTTTGAAATTATAATGCAGAATACATTGTTTGCCCCTTTCCTTTTCTCCCTGCAATCCCTCCTCTATTCCTTTCCTTGCTCTCTTTCAAATTCATGTCTTGTTTTCCCTTAATTGGTGATATATATATATCTCTTATATAATGTTATGTTATCCTATATAATGTTACGGATATGTATGTTTTCAGGGCTGAGCACTGGTATTGGATACCCAATTGGTGTGCTCCTGCTGGAGACGACATTTCTCCTGCTCTCAGCTTTCCACAGTTGCTTGTGGTTTCTTGTGTAGAGTTGAGGCCCCATGGGCTTTCCCATGTTCATTTTCATCTGCTTTCATTCAAACCACATTCTTTAAAATCCACAGTTCAGGCTGTTTGCCCATTGCCATTTAATTAACACTGGTTCTTGCCACTGTGAGCAGATACGTCCTGCTGGGGGATGAACTGGATATGATCCTCACGTTGGTGTGACTCCTGGTCTTGAGGGAGGTGACTATACATAAAGGCGGCTGTGCCAAGAGATAAGGACTGGGGTGTCAATAGTGAGGCTGAGACAAGGAGAGAGAGAGCCGAGTCACTTCAGAAGGATGACGACATTGCTGCCCTTCAACAGTTCTGCAAACAAAACATCCTATCTGACTGGCAATGCCATACGCGCAAACCAGGGTAATCCCAGAAACTGGAAACAGAATCTTGGGGTCAAGAGTATTTTTATTCCATGTGACTGAAGTCCAACCAAAACTGCTCAGAGACAAGGGGTAGGGAAGATCCATAGGCAGCAGGGATTGGGTGCATTGAGAGTCCCCTTCTCCACAGGAGGTGTCCTTGTCCTCTCCTTTGGGACACCAACCTTCTTCAGAGGCAGCGCTCAAGGCTGCTGACAGCTCTTCCCTGACACCTGGTCAACTGATTCATTACAGAGAAAAGAGGCCATCTTCCTCGAGGCCATTTAGAAAAATGTTGGCAAAAGGTCTTCCTTGACTTTACTGTCTCTTTTCCTACAGCCTCTAAACGTCTAGACCAGCACTGAAGGAGGATAGAAGGTATTGCATGACCACTAGACACTCCCTGTGGTCGGGAAGAAGTGATAGAATGGAAAATAGATACAAGCCCTACCCTCTGATCCATGATCATACACACACACACACACACACACACACACAGGAGAGAGAGAGAGAGAGAGAGAGAGAGAGAGAGAGAGAGAGAGAGAGAGAGAGAGATTTGTCATCAAAGGGAATAATTGACACTGAGCCAACAAGCAGTAGGAATACATTGGAGGTCAAGACGAAGGGGAGAAAACCAGAAGATTCCCAAAGTATTAAATATTGGACATACACACCTTATCCCATGTTAGCATCTCTAGTTGAACCTAACAATTGTTTCTTAAAACTTCTCCTTCAAAGACCTAATGTGGGTTTCAGTTGACCCCTCAGGAAAAATGGGGAGAAAAATAAAGACATAGTAGAGAAATCCACTTACAAACGCACAGGGTTTTTAGATTTATTTTATTATGTTGTGTGTATGAGTGCTTTGCCTACATGCGTGTCTGTGTACCTCATGCCTGGCCTGAGGAGATGGAGAGCTTCCATGTGGTTGCTGGGAATCGAACCTGGGTCCTTTCCAAGAACAGCAAGTGCTCTTAGCCACTGACCCAATTCTCCAGCCCCTGTGGTTTGGTTTTAATGTAGTAGGGTAAGAAGAAATCTCAAGTTTCATGACGACTGTGTTTTATTGACCGAGACAGTTTTCTCTTAGCATCTGTGATCTGTCTCTGAGGACCATGTCTTTCCTAGAAGAGGCAAATGGATAGGCCTCTGTATGTAAATACAGTCATCCGTTGGCCTTGAGCAATGGGTAACTGCTATGGCCTGTGAAGAGGTTCATCCCATTCCCCAAAAGCTCATGTGTTGAAAGTGTGGTTTGTAGCTGGTGGCGTCAATCAGCAAGAGATAACTGGACCATTAGAGCACTCGGGCTGTTGGTGGTTTGATCCTTTATAAAACAAACATACTGAACAAGTTATTGGTTGAAGAAAGTAGGTGGCTTAGGAGGACAATCTTGTCCTAATCCCTTCTCATCCTGTTTCTGCTTCCTGGCCGGCATGAAATGAACTGCTTTGTTGTCTGTCCCATGCTGGCCTGCCCACAGGATGTTCTGATTCCCCATAGGCTGTCAGTGATGGAGGGAATGGACAAGGACCGAAACCTCTGAAACCATGAGCTAAAATAAACCTTCCTCCTTTAAGTCATTTCTCTAGGGCTGCTTGTCACTGAGATGGCACACTGAGTAACAGCAAGCTCCCTGTGTCTGAGCAAAGATATTCTTGCCACTCCCTTTAGTGAGTTGTTTGAGAAGAGGCCAGAAATCAGGGCTAAAGCAATTTCTTGAACAAAAAGAAATAAGACTCACAGTCTTTCCATTCTAATTAAGTTCTTTCTGACAGGTTGAGATGCACTTAACTAAAGTTCCTGGGCAGAGAGGACCCCCAAGGGCTTGTAGAAAGCTCATATAAAGGCAAAGGCAGGTAGTTTATTTTGGCCCAGTGTATATGTGAGTCTGGGAGCCCCTCTTGACCCTGACATCCTGTTTGAAAGGGCAGAGTTTAGACCAGTGCCTGAGCACAAACACTAAACCAAATACACAACATCCTTGGTGGATAGTAAAACATAAGAGAGAGGGGGGAGGCGGACTCCCTTGTGTTCAGTAAGTCTCGGATTCTTGAACCATTCAGCCAAAGGTGGGAAGCAGGTGTGGCCGGAGAACTAGAGAAAGTGGATACTCCACTCCAAAGAGTATTTGATCTTTTTGTATGGGTGTGTTGTGTGCTGAGGATTCAACCCAGGGCCTTACAAGGCAAGTATGCTACATCCCCTGGTCCTAATTACTTGATGAGCTCCAAGAACATAATTGTTCACCTATGACTTAGAGCATGGACCATTGAAATCCATTGTCTTCAGAAAGGACTTCTCAGTGTGGGATTGAGGGAGCTGCATAATGGGGTTAGCCTTTGAATCTTTCCTGTCCTTGCTGAGTTACTCAGCCAGAACAGTTCAAGAATGGTGGCATTTGTCAAGGTGTTCTGCTCAGAGAACCTGTGCACATGCACCAGACAGGGCGGGCTCTTCCCTGAAGAACTTGGAACGGGGGAATGTAACAGGGAGTGTATGGGCTCAGCCACAGCTGCTGGTTTACGAGGTTTTCTTCTGCCATGATGAAGGAACACAGGTGATTGCCCCAACCTCATCCCGTAGCGGTGGTGGTGCCGCTGGTACCCGGCTAACACATCACTGTCAAACAGACAGGAGAGTGCCAAAGAGGCCTGTGGGTTGAAGCACATGTTTCCTCGCTCGGAAAGCTCTTGAGACACGTTTGAAACATTTCATGGTTTTACAACTAGCTTCTGAGATTAGGATATTTATTAAATATCCATAAGAATGAGAAGAGAGCATGTGCTGTTAGAAACAAACCCCTAGAGCATCTGGCTGTGTCCGGATTTGGCTCCCACAGATTAGACATCATATTTCTTAATATTCAAATTTCTTTTTTGTCTTGTTGATGCTGCAAATCCAACCCATGGCCTTGTGCACATGACACACACTCTTCTATTGAGCTATATTCCCAGCTGGATAGCATATTTTATATCAAGGTTAATGTGTCTTTTCCAGGAATTTAGCCTGATTCAAAGGGAAACCATAAGCTTTCAATTTTAGCACATTTGCAAGAGTCCATATTCAGTAAGGGTAGGCTGGCCATGGCGGTCGACTCTACCATTCTAAAAGGCATTGCCATGTGTTTTGTGTCTCCGTGATACCGGTAGGGGAAGAAACCGAGAACTGATGCGATTCATGTAATAAAAACTCACAATTAAAACAAAAAGAGTTTCTCGGGAGGGAAGGGTGGGAATGGAATCGGGAAACAGAGACTGGGTTAGAGAGTAGAGCTGGCCAGTGTGATCATGGAAGTGCCTCAAAGAGGACTGTTTGAAAACGAAGACCTCTAATACTGTGTGTGAGCTGACCAGTGAGACCCGGCTGCCTCGCTTCCCTCCACCTGCAATGCAGTTTGTCCGACATGTCAGCCTGTACGCTAGGGGAAAGCAGGGGCCAAGGGGATGCCAGTTACATCTCAGGCAAGGTCACCAAGTGAGAAGACCACTGGAAGAAACGCAGGGAGGAGCACAATGATGGAGTAAGAGGAGGCTCGGGGAGATCCTCCTCCAAGAAATCCCCAAATGCCAGAAAGGGGTAAATGATCGTTTCCCGCCGAAGTCCAGACTTGCGAGGATTAAATATTAAAGAGGAGTCACCAGTACCCAGACAGTTGGCCAATGACTCACAAGTTCTCCATGGCGCTCTGTAAGGACTCCCGCAGATTTCGTTCACTAAATTCATTATAGTTGTCCAGCAACCTGAGTCTCAAGCAAGTCAGCTGCCCTGGAGCGCTCGCATCTGAACTGAGCTCTTCTAGACCAATGCATTTGAAACATAGCAAACGGATGAGCACAAGCTGGAAATACCAAGGTGAATCTTCTGTCTACATATTTGAGTTATAAAAGAGTCTGGAATTAAGAAAAAAAAACCTCACATGGCACAGTTTCCATGAAGATGTCTCCCCGCTCTTTGTGGGGGAGAACGGCAGCTTGAATTAATTGGCCTCTGTGGTTGCTTCTCTTTCATCTCCAGCCACGGAAGAAAGATAACCACGGGGCTGTAGCGATTATCGTCATCAGGGCGATTTGCTAAAGGTAAACCTTAGCTGGTGGAGTCCTAGGCTTCTGTAAACATTCTGTCGGTCTGCACATTTTGCAGGCAACCTTTAAGGAAATAGCAGCTTGTCTAATAGGCTTCTCTGGGTGAGCGCTGTCCTTGGAGGTGCCGGCTCCAGCCTTTAATCCCCCTTTCATTTAAGCTGATGCCGCTAATATTTTTTCAGTTATCCATCATGTGGTCAGCGCAACCTGTCCTGTGGACATTTGAAAGCTCTGGTGAGGGCCGCCAATGGTCTTCTCTCCCTGGAATCACACCATTGGCTGAGCTAGGTGAGAGGCTGGGTAGAAAGAAAAGGACTTTGCTGGAACCCTGTCTCAAAAAAAAAAAAAAAACAAATGAAACAAAACAAAGCAAAACAAAACAAAAAGGACTCTGCTGGTGGAAGTGTTTATTTCAAAGAAATCAGTGTTTGCCAGCTTCTTAATTTCTAGCTATATGTAAGCTAAAAAAATGTTGGGACCGTCATTCTAAAGAAATCATTAAAACTAATTATCTATATCTATTGGTAAGAATTTCACAAAGCCAGGCATGATGGCACAGACCTCTAATCCTAGCTCTGGGGAAGGAGGTGGCAGGGACAGGCAGAGGCAGGGGGATCTCTGCGAGTTTGAGGCCAGCTTGATCTGCACAGTGAGTTCCAGGACAACAAGGTCTACAGTGAGAGACCCTGTCTCAAAAAATGGGGGGGGCACTCCAAACATAACACACGTGTATGAAGTCTGACTTAACAGTTTTCAAGAGAACATTTGTTTGCATACAAAGCACACAGTATCCTTCCTCTTCCCTTCCATGTCAAAGCTGTTAGTCATTACACAGCCCTACACCATTAATGATAGATCCACCATCTAACCCAACCCACAGAAAGACCTAGAATGTTTGCCACAATGGCAAAATTAGTTATTAAATAATTAACTCTGCCCAGCTAGGCAGCAGCTAGAGAGAGCATCTTTCAAGAGCTCACGCCTTCTCCTGGCATGTCCGGTCCTCCTGGACACATTTATTATGAACTTCAACAAGGGCACCCATCCTGCTCCTGGGCTGAACAGGACCCCGAGGCCTGGGGCCATCATCCCAGCTCTAACTAGGAGGTTCTGTGTATGGCCTGACTCTGGGGTTCACATCTACACTTCAAATAATAGGCCACGAGCTGCTTCTATGCACCGGTTGGTGTTCTATGTGTCTTTCGTATACATCTCCGCCTTTAATTCTCACTGTAGCTTGTGAATGAGACAGGGACAACATTGGTCCATATGGTAAGTGAAGATTTGAGGCCAGCAAGCCTGCAATACGCAAAGCATCTATGGAGATGAAACCAGAATGGGAGCCTGACCGCCATCCTGATTGGCCTGCTTGGGTCCAACTGAACCCCATGGTGTCTTAGGCCTTTCTCTGATCTGCGCTGCTCCTTGTCCCTGTGGTTAGGAATTTCTCTAAATCCTATTCTCCTAAGGTTTTCTTTTCTGTGGTTCTTTCGAAAAAAAAAATTTGTCCTGTGAAACTCATACTTCAGTGGGACAAATGTGGTTTTTAGGAAAAGGCATGAATCTATATGAAGGGGTTTGGAGTTTGGAGAACACATGAGACAAAAAAAAAAAAAAAAAANCCTTCATCTGCCATAAGGTGGCATGAATAAAGAAAAGAATCCCCCCCCTCCCGGACAATGAGGACTACTGAGAACTCAAAAACAATGGCAATGGGTTTTTGATTCTACTGCATGTACTGGCTTTGTGGGAGCCTAGGCAGTTTGAATGCTCACCTTACTAGACCTGGATGGAGGTGGGTGGTCCTTGGACTTCCCACAAGGCAGGGAACCCTGATTGCTCTTTGGGCTGACGAGGGAGGGGGACTTGATTGGGGGAGGGGGAGGGAAATGGGAGGTGGTGGTGGGGAAGAGACAGAAATCTTTAATAAATAAATAAATAATACAAAAAAGGAAGAAAGAAAGAAAGAAAGAAAGAAAGAAAGAAAGAAAGAAAGAAAGAAAGAAAGAAAGAAAGAAAGAAAGAAAGAAGTCCCCCTCGGTGGCAGGTGGGAGAGCTGTGGGGTGGGTAAGCTGGCCCTGAGGTCCAGAGAGCAGGAGAGCGGGCCCACCCCTTGCTCCTTGCTATGTATGGCGAACTTGCCAGGGCAGTGGTGGGGAGCTCACGCTGTTGTTGAGGATGAGGGAGAGCTGGTGGGCTGACCAACCCTGCAACCACGTAGGCCCAGAACCAGGGTTGTCTCCTTAGATTTCAGGCTGAGAGATAACCATTGTATGCAGCCGGGCTTGAGCCTGTTTCTGAGGACTGGGGCAGCCCCACATTCCACCCCAGTGACTGGTGTGCTCCGTGAAAACCGGCTGAGATTAGAAGCAGGAATCTCTCCAGGACGGATGAAAGGAACACAAGGCGGTAGATGCTTCCTGACATCTATCCAGACTTACCTTCATCTTTGCCTTGACAGTTGGGCAAGGTTTTTGGCAAACATAGTCCTGTACAAACATGCAAAACAACCAAGGTTGCTAAGAAGAGAAAGAAGAAATTATGGGTGAGTCATGCTGTTTGCCACACGGGATGAAGAAGGCAAGAGAGAGTGGTATGGATATCGGGAAGATCATGTGGGTTGATAAGCACAACACGTGTGCCCTGCCCCGAGGGGCACACCTAAAACTGTGTATTGCATGTAAATCTTAACCATTATAAATATAGAGGATGTAGATTTCTGTGTGATATTTGTTTGACCCAGTGGGGAACACTTAAAGTTGCACATTGCCATTGGAATTCTTAATTTGATCAGAAAGTGAAGACGCACAAGGGTATACTCAATTGGAAAGGTAAACAACAAAGGACCATGGGTCCTAAGCTCTAGACTTCAATGTGGGAGCTTTAATCAGGTAGAAAGCCACGGGTATTAACGGTCTGTTGTGAGGACAGAGCCCAAATGGTCAACGAAGAAATCAAACACTTCTGACTTTTCAGCACATTATTTTAACAAGTGGACATTTCTGCTTATTTTGTATTAGTTTACTTTAAATTTTATTGTTAAATTAATGATGCAAATGAGAAACATCATCGATGTGGGATTCCCCTCTGTGTGCTGTGAATGTTTTATTACCATTGATTAATCAAGAAGGTGCTTTGGCCTATGGCAGTGCAGATTGGAGCTAGGCAGGAAAACCAAACTGAATGCAGGGAGAAAGAGGGCACAGTCAGGCAGATGCCATGTAGCTGCCAAAGGAGAAAGACGCAGGAACCTTGCTGATAGGCCACAGCCTCATGGTGATACTTAGATTAATAGGAATGGGTTAATTTAAGATGTAAGAGATAGCTAGAAATACGCCTGAGCCATTGGCCAAACGTTGCAATTAATTTAGTTTTTGTGTGATTATGTGTGTCTGGTAAGCTGGGAAATTAAAGCATAGTCTCCTTTTACACATCACATACTAAAACTGACCATCTTCAAAGACTACGGTTAAACTATGCTAACATATGGTTAGCATCATCATTCAAGATGGAAGCCATGGCATTTCACATTGGATTTTACCCTTTTTCTATCAAATATACTTAGATACACTTATCCACCACCAAAATTGAAAAATTCACAACAGAGTTGAAACTAGAAAAGCAATCAGCTTTGAATCCCTTTTCCTAAGTCATGTTTGTTCTTTGGCAAGTGGGTGTTTCTTGAGCTGGGTTCTATTAAACCTTCATACTTTCTGTTTATTAGAGATGGTGACTCACTATGAAGCCCAAGCTAGCCTTCTTGCCTTGACTAGAAAATGCCTGCCTCAGTTTCCCAGTGCCAAGATGATGGGTATATCCCTACTTCCCAGCTAGAATGTGATCTCTCTGTGTGTCTTTCTGTCTCTCTCTCTCTCTCTCTCTCTCTCTCTCTCGCTCTCGCTCTCGCTCTCGCTCTCGCTCTCGCTCTCGCTCTCGCTCTCGCTCTCGCTCTCTCTGCCTAAGGTTAGATATAATTTCAATTTGGCTGTCACAAGCATTTTAAAGTGCCCAGTCATGCACCATGGAGGATGTTGTAACGTCAGACACCACCACCACCCACTTCCAGAACTTTTTCATCTTCCCAAATTGGAGTTTTGTGCCCATTAAACACTAATTCCATGTTCTCCCTCCTGCAGCTGCTGGCAGCCAGTAGCCTTCTTCCCATCTCTGTACTTTGTTTTCGAGACCAATTTATTACAGTTTTTAACTGTGATATTTCATAATCTTAGCATCTGAGAAGCAAAGTCGTGAGTAGAAGGGTTTTTGAGTTGAGGTAAGGCTTGCACTTACTTTTCAAATGCCTAAATCATATGTTTTATTCATTTCATATAAAATTTCAACCATTTTTTTTAGAATTAAGGTGCTTATCTTATTGTTAATGAATCTGTGACACTTCTGAGTTTATTTTTAATGACTCTGGGAACAGATACATTGAAGTACTATTTAAAGGGCAGGTGGGCGGGCCTTTGGTGAAGAGGTTTAATCCCAGGATTTGGGAGGCAGAAGCAATAGAATAGAGTTTGAGGCCAGCCTGGTTTACATACTGAGTTTCAGAACAGGGAGATGGTCTAAAAAGCCAAACCAAAACAAACAGAAAAGTGGATGCATTTAAAATACTACATCAACCATTTGTGATAAATAGGGTATATTAAAATTTGTCAGTGCAGGATTCTGGTCTAAATAGCAGCATAAAATATATGCTTTTTAGTTTGTTTGGTTGGATGTTGTTGTTGTTGTTGTTAGAGGAAGCATTTCACACTTTCAAGAGTGAGTTGCTCTGTGGGTCCTCCCCACCCCATTAAAGCCCAGTGTGTTAAGAGACAAGACAGCATAAAGGATATGGGCTCTCCTCACTCAGCTAATGCTGCTCAGAGTTCTGAAACAAAAATAGTTGTGAGGAACTGATAGTCAATGTCGTATTCTCAGCCATGTAAATAAACCTTAACCCGAGAAGGTCTGGTTTCCCAGAGCCCTAGTAAATAGACGTTTTAACAGCAATCTCATGTAAAGTAGCCATGTGCTTGTAATTATCCAAACATTGTAGATCCCCTGTGTGGAATTTCACATCTTTATTGCTTCTATTTTAATGTTTACAAAGTTGGTAGTAATTTCTCAGACTAAATCTGATCCTAAACAGGAAAGATAACTTCCTATGTATTTGTAATTTTTCGATGCAAGATTTGGCAAGAATCAAACCATTCCTAGAACTTAGTCACTTTGACTTTCCTAAGAACCCTGCATGCTCATTTGAGAAGGTGCTCCATCTACCCGACTCAAGTATCCCCATACCTATTAGCCAGCGGCAATGTGGTTTTAATCTAGAATATTTGGACAGACATAAAACATGTTGAATCATTACAGAAAGAGAGTGTTGCCACAAATTCACAGGGAAATACAGTAAAACTCCCTGTGTCAAACAAATTTAGCCTTTTACAGAAGTTAGTTACCAAAAAGCCACATTTTAAGAGGACAAGGAAAACTAGATCAATGATAAGAATTTTAGATGTAATTTCAGAGCAAAAGTATAAAGATCAAGGGTGGCTAAAGTTAACAGAGAACGATTAGGTATTTAAAAAAAAAAAAAAAACAAAATACTTGGCTACCTAACTATTATTACTGTGCTTGCATCGGTGTGGATTCACGCTCATTGCTCAATCTGATCTTTGATTTTATGTATGGATTGCACTGAGCGGTTTCATTACGGCATCCCTATATGTGCTCCTGATGTATTTTGATTTCCTGTGCACAAAGGACTGAGGACATACATTTTTTTTCTCCTCCATCAGGGTTGACAAAGCTTGTTAGGAATTGTTTAAACTTTATTTTTTGGACTACCATAGTAAAGTGGGAATGTTTTGAGTTTCAATAGCCAAGAAGTGGCTGAGCTCAATCTTTTGAGTCGCTCCATTTCCATCACAGAGCATAGGAGACACCTGTTTTCCACTCCCCNCCCCCCCCCCCCCCCCCCCCGCCTTCAAGTTCAAAGCCGACCTGACCACAGCTGCCTCTCAAGTGCTGGGAGTAAATGTGTGCCACTACCATCCAGCCTCAGGAAGTGCTCTTAATTGCTGAGTCATTTCTCAACTCTTTTCTACTTTTTCTTTCTTTTTTTGGGGGGGGGGAGGTTCGAGACAGGGTTTTGCTGTAGCTTTGGAGCTTGTCCTGGACCTCATTCTGTAGACCAAGTTGGCCTTGAACTCAAAGGGATCCCCCTGACTCTGCCTCCCGAGTGCTGGTAATAAAGGCGTGCACCACCTCCGCCTGGCTACTTTCTACTTTTTAAAGAGAACTTGTCTAAGATGGGATTTTATGAGAATGTCAAACAGAGTAAGGCAGAAATGTTCACACTCAAGAGAACACGGAGTCCCAGAACTGCCTGTTAATCCCAGTGCTCGGGAGCTCCGGGAACACAAAGGCATCCAGTTTTAAATCCACTGCCCTCTATGGCCATCTGAGTAATTACCTTCTTGTAATCCAGACTTACCCATATTAAATCTCATTTCTTTAGGGTCATTTACAGGATACTAACTCTAGCTAGGTTGACAGAAGTTTGTGATAGTAAAACATGAGTTCAGATCCTGCCAGAGAGTGTTTATATTTTAATCCTGTCTTTACGAGGGCGGTGCCTCAAGGAAGCGAGTCCATTCATGCAGTCATGGAGGGTTCCTTTCTACAGGGTAGGACTTACACTACCATACTAATAGGTCAGGTGCCTTTTAAAAACAAATTCCTTTCAAATAATACTTCAAAATATTAAATAATTAAAGGGAAGGGTGTTTTGGTTTGTTTTGGGTCAGGGTCTCATCATGTAGTCCTGGCTGGCTTGGAACTTGCTACATAGACTGGGCTGGCCTCAAATTCTCAGAGAAGCCTCTGCCTCTGCCTCCTTGAGTGCTGGGATTAGAAGCTTTTATCACCCTTGCCATCCCCACTGGGAAAAGGCTCTTTTCTTCACTTAAGAGAAAATTTTTTCCCTGGTTCAATGTGAAAAAAATCATTTAAGAACTGTAAGAGCACAAATTTAAGATGGGAATAAATGTGACAATTTCATCTGATTTTGATACTGTATTTCTGTGTGTATATATATTATATCTATATAATCTATTAATGTTGCCAAATTCTATGTACACTTTAAGTGTGATCTCCCAATCCTTTAAACAATGTCTTTAAAAGATATTAATTGGGGTCAGTAGTCCTTATCAAGCAGTCTTGCCTGTGAGTAGCAATTTTCCAAGCGACCACAGGGGGGCAGGAGACACCGTAGATGTCTGCAGGTGGTGCATATGCTGGTATGAAGGCTATCAGGACCAAGCCTTCACCAGAACCTCTTGGTCCATGCAGGTCAAAAAATCCTCACTGTTTCAAAATCTTCCTCCCAGAGGGAAGTGCCGAAGAAGTGACCAGAGAATCTAAGACTAGGCTGGAAACTCAAAATTCCACAGCAATATTTTAAAGACTCAGTGTATAATGAGGAAACCTAAAGGCAAAGCTGGCAAGTTTTCTCCTCACAGTGTTGCTATCACAACACACACACACGCACACATGCACACGTGCATACGCACATACACACACACACACACATGCACACGCACCAGGGAGGGGGCCTGGAGCAATGGCCTTACTGAAGCCTTGTTAACACCAGGTGAATTTCTGTTTAAAGTATGCTGGACGTAGGAGGTTTTAACTATAGGAAACGTTGTCTTAGGAGTCTGAATGGCTTGGCTCCTGGTTCTATTTCTGACTTGCCTGTGATCTCCAGCCCTTGGTGTTGATTTGTCTCACCTGTGAAATGAGCACCATGGCCTTTTTGGCAAAACTTTCTTCACACAGATCCAAGGCTGGTAACAATGAAAGAGAGTAACATCCGCCCTGGGGTAATCCTGCCCACAGGAGCCCACCCATGTCCTTTGTGGTCCCTGTCTTTTGCCTTTCCCCATGGACTGTCTAGTCATTTGAAAAGCTGTAAGCCACAGGCAATGGGATTTCTGTCTTGCATTACCTTGCGTCCTGTTTGCTGGTTACTCGCAGTGGCGGTGCTGTGGGCAAAATGAGTGGAGATGCAGGCTGCCTTCACAGGCAAGAAACATGGTTACTAAACAAGAAGCTTCTCATGGCTCGTCATTCGCAGACCCTGCAGTACTAGAAAAGAAAATAGTGACCCCATAAAGCACAAGTGGTCATTTCCCAGAGGGAAAGGATGCAGACAAACCCCAGGAGGATGCCATCCACTGTCCTGGATGTCACTTCATGGTCAGGGTGCAGGAGCAAGGGGCAATGCTGACCAACAGGCAGCATAAGCACCCAGGGGTGCAGCTGGACGGAAGGAAAGATGCAGAGAGGGGAAGAGGAAGGAAGGAGATGCGTTTGGTATTTATGTTAAGTGCCAAGGATACCCTCTCTGGATAACAGTGCGCTGACAAGGATGTGTGCACCAAAAATGAAGGCGCATGAGCAGCCAGGTCGTTTTGAGAGTGGCTAAATATCTGCCTAATATTGTTTAAAATTTCTGTTCCACTCCTGTCATGCCCTTAAGCTGGTATATGATAATACATCATCTGAATCTCAGCAAGAGGAAGGATGGGGCTAAAGTAAGCACCTTCTCACCCAAGACAGACAGGCATGAGCTGACTAACCCTAGCCGACATACAATGGGTTGGCTAGCAAGAGGAAAGCAGCCTTTCTCAAAAGTCTAGCAATGACCCGTACAGACTCTGGAGCAGTGTGATCTTGGGCCTCAGTTTCCCTGCCTGTAAAATAGAGACAACACAGCCTCTATCTCAGGCTTGTTATGAAGATGAAGCGAAAACTGTCTGCAAACATCATGGAGCCATACCTGGCGCAAAGGTTCCCTGTGGACGTTTTGCCATATTGAGGCGTGGCGGCAGGTGTCCAGGGTGAGAGGCATGTCTCTGACCTTAAGGAAGTCGGAATAAAGTGAGGGGAAAGCAGAACTGCCCCCCCTTGCTTTCAGGCCTTCAGGATCCCAAAGAAGGGTGGAGGGGAAGGCAAGGTGGCAGGACTGGGCCGAGAACCCACAGAGAAACAGCCACCTCAGATCAAACCAGAACACAAAGTGGCCAAGTCACTCCTCCCTGGGTCTACCCTTGGCTGAGTGGCCTTGGAAAATTCACTTATCTTTGAGTCTTTTTCTTTCTTTCCTCATTTTTAAATCCCTGGAAGTGGGATGATTTGCAGCGGGACGTTTAAGGCTGGTGTTTGAGCACCCCATAGGGACTACGGACAACTTCTGTCCAGAGTGCTGTGTGAGAGAAGCAGCCCTGAGCTGCCAAGTGTAGCAGCGTCCAGGCTCCGGGAACCGGCGGGGCGGTGGGCGGGGAAGACACTGGGAATCTGGGGACAGATAAAGGAAACTCGTGATGGGGTGAGGCTGAACTGAAAAGAAACAGATTGGGGTTGAGCTGCGAAGGGAGGGGTCTGGTGGGGGAAGAGAGGGTGGGAAACAGAGACTTGGGAGGCCACAAGAAGAAACACAGGCAGGCCAGCGACGTTGTGGGGGGCAGGGGGGAAGAGGTATCTAATAGGAATGATGAGAAGGAACTTGAGGAAGAAGGAAGTCCTGGAAACAGCAGGAAAACGGAAGGGGAAGTACGGGTCCAGAAGAAGAGGGAAGCAAGCTCCCAGGGGGCCCCGAGAAGCCGGGGATCACAGGAAAGAGAAAAGCAGCAGCTGCACCAGACGTTGGGGTCTGCAAGAGAAGAGGCTGGGGCCTGCAGGGGAGCGAGCATCTCCGAGCACCGCTCCAAACTCTGAAGACTGGTGGCCTTTGCCTGACCTCCAAGGTCGGGAATAGACGCGGGGCGTTGTGGAAGGCGGCACCCTATCGAGAGAATGGGGCTGTGAAGGATTGGCCCCTGCGCCTGCCCTCCCGGGCTCAAGGTTGAGCCCTTGGCTGTGCTAACGCCGACTTGGGGGTTGAAGTTGAAGCGGAGCGGAGAAGGTACCACTACTGCGAGCCAGCGCGCAGCCGGCGGCAGAAGCACCAGCTCCGAGCCAGCTCTGGCCACTGCCACTACAGCTTCCCGTGTTCCCGGGTCCCCGGGCCGCTGACTCCCAGGAAAGTACAGGCAGCTGGCGGGAATGGCGTGCGGCGGGGCAGCGTTGCGGAGGGTGGGCTTCCCCGCCCTTGCCAGACGGCCCCTGGTGTTGCGTGCGGGCTCTGGCTCTCCAGCCGAGGGACAGCGGTGCTTGGTCCCCGCTCTCCCTGCCAGCGCTCCCGACTCCGCCGGGCGCTCGCTGGGAGCAGCTCGCACGCCTTCCGAGGGGGCGCTGCGCCACGCCGTCGCCCCAGCCCACCACCGCCCCCTACTCCACACCTCCTGCCCGCTCTACCCGCCGCCCTCCCCCTCCCCGCCGTGCCGCTCTCCCTCCTTTCTTCCCCCCCCCTCCCGGCGAGGGGCGGGAGGGGGCGTGGCAGGGCCTCGGTTTGTGTAGCTGCTGCCCGGCTCCCCGCACTCGGAGTCTGCAGGAGGAACGCGGCCTCCGCCGCTGTCCAGCTGCTCTGTGCCTTTCGCGCCCGGCGCCGCCGCCTCCGCCGCCGCTGCCGCTGTCGCCGCTGCCTCTCCGGGAAACTCAGTCACTGGCTCACCATGGACTCTCCTAGGGTCCTGCTCTTGGCGATCTTCCTCATCAGCTTCTTCTGGGATTTGCCGGGTTTCCAACAGGCTTCCATCTCCTCGTCCTCCTCCACCGAACTGGACTCCACCAAGGGCGTGAGGAGCGGCAAAGAAGGGAAGATGCCGAGGACACCACAAGAGAGTGCGGAGGGACAGACGCCCCAGGAGCACCAGCCGAGGCAGAGCGAACTCAGGCTGCGGCCGCCTGCACAGTCTCAGGGGCAGGAGCCTCCGGGCAGGGTCCCGCGCGTGGTGCCCCACGAGTACATGCTGTCAATCTACAGGACTTACTCCATTGCCGAGAAGTTGGGCATCAATGCCAGTTTTTTCCAGTCTTCCAAGTCAGCTAATACGATCACTAGCTTTGTAGACAGAGGACTGGGTAAGTGGCAAAGAAAGCGCCGGACTCCTCTCCCGCTGGAGCTCCTCAGCCAGAGCGCTGCCCGGGCTCTGGCAAGAGGCTGCTTTTGTGAATTCCCAACCCATTTTGGACACCTCCCCTTTTTTTTATTTTCGCAAGTCCAAAATTCCGAGTGCAGCTGCGGATTTGCTCCAGTCTGCAGTCCTCCCCTTACGCTCTCACTTTTCTCCTTTTCCATCCGTGTTTTCTCGTCTGTTGCCGATAGCAGCGTGGTGGTTGCTGGTCTGGTAGCTAGAGGAGGAAGGGTAGAGGGAGGGAACTGGTGGGCAAATGATGGGAGATGGAGAAGGGGCAGAGAAAGGACTGAGGGACCGAGTGGTAAAAACCCATGAGGGATGCTGGCCCTAGGGCATCTGTGAGGGCGTTAGAAAGCGTGGAGCCTCCTGTCTCCCAAGGAAAAGCGCGGCAGAGTCCAGGGAGCGGGGGAGTCTAGGACCAGTGACAGGCAGTGCCTTAATCCAGCAATCCTGCGAGTTCTTCTGGAGCCCTGTGCAGGTTGTGAGGGACATCAGTCCCATAGGCATCTAGTCCCTTCTGGCACCGTTTTTTTTTTTTTTTTCCTGTCATTTTTTTTCTTTTTCTTCTTCCTGTAGTATCGCGCACCTGATCGTTCTTAAGCCGCAGTCCACCGGACTGGCACAACCAGGGACCGCTGAAAGCGTGGGGTTCTTGGGGCTTAGGGTACCACAGGAGTCCACGGATCCACCTTTCTCAGACAGACTTCACTCTGCTCTTCTCTCTAAGCGTCTGGGGACCCAACCCTCACCCCCTGCGCCAGACTGGATGCACAGGTCTATAGGCTTCCGAACTTCCCCCTCTTGCTCTCCTCACTGATCCACCACGTGGCCAATGTCTTCTGATTAAACCTCAGATATTGGGGAAAGTTCCACAGGCTTCTAGAGAAGAAAACGTAATTCAGAAAAAGCAGGAAGGGAGGGGTGGACAGAGGGGGAAGGTACCTAGAAGGTAAGAGGCGCTAAGAGATTTAGGCAGTCCTTGCTTGTCATACCCCCAGGCTCAGCTTCGCCTGTTCCTAAACCCGCAGGCTAAGGTTCAGTGAAAGTATCCAGAATCTCAAGAGCTCCAGAATTGGGCAGCTACATCTATCCGCCTTGATGATCCTCACATTCTCGAACCTTTCCAGAGTGGGCTAATGTCCCCCTCGCCCACCTGCCCCAAGCCTGACTCGGTCTCCAGTCACCAGCCGTCCCTGGAAGCTGCTTTCCTTCTCAGCCAAAATTCTAGTCCCTGCCAGGTATGCAGCTGCAATCCGAGGTCAGCGGGTTATGAGCTGCTGAAAGGACTCGACGGCACATTAACGCCGCCGTATTTTATGACGATTTTAGGGATAATAAAGTCACCTTTACGAAAACACGTGGCTTCTTCGTGTTGCTGCTACAAGGTCTTGTACCTGGATTCTCCAGCTCAACGCCAATGCCTTCCTACCTCTGCTGGAGCGCAATTTCTCCCCCAGCAACGTCTCAGTAAACCTCCTAGTGTTTCTAAGAGGAGAGGCGATGGAAGGTCCCAGAATACTGTTCTAAGGGAAGAAATCCTAGAGGCCTAGGCTAGCAGGAGACTGGGTACTTTCTTCTTTTCCTGGGAAGTGACAAGGTCTTCTCTCCTACCCCAGGCAGGCACTCTTATTGGTTCACTAGTTCCTGAAAGTTGGCACAAGACCAAGGGACAGTGGAGGCTGTTCCCAGGTATCTATAGAGGACCTTGGAATTTCGGAAAGCAGGAACGGCTGTCTCTCGGGCCCTTAGACCTGCACGATTCGAGCACTCTTCAGCCCTTGATTGCCCCCAGGTACCCACACACCCTGGCACCGTGCTGGGAGCCCTCAGGCTCCTCCAGCACCAAATGGGCAATAGGGAGTAAAGGAACACTGTTCCCTGGCCATCGGACGCCGCGAGGTCAGCAGGATTGTGGGTTTAACCTCAGAATGCATGCACAGGGCTGTCAGAGGTCCCTAGTTAGGTGCACCAAGACCCACCGTGAGGGTAGCTGTGAAGGCTTTCTCTCCTCGTCCTCTGAGCTTGAAGGAAACTGTGTGGGGACTGCGAGGGCACTTGGAAGGCTGTGCTGCCTGTGGCGGGTGTAAAGGAGCTGGGGGGCGGGCAGAGAGGGATTGGAGGGGTGCGCGGAGGAGGGGCTGGATTGCTGGCTGCAGCCCCAGCTTGATAAAGGGAAAACCTCACTTTCCCTCTCACTGATTTTGATTTGATGTGTCACCGGCGGTGACCTCGGGTTGGACCTTCCGGGGCTTGCTTAGCCTTGGGCCCCTGATTGGAGTGTTTCAACTCAGCGATCTAATTGAGGGTTCATGTCATAACACATCAAACGGTGTCTAGTCTCCCGTGATGGAAGGGACCCACTAACCGCGCATCCCGGGCTTCTGGTGAAGACTTCCGCTCCTCTCGCGCGCGCGGGGGTTCTTAACGTGCCAAACTCTTCGGCATCCCCTCCCCCAACCCCCAAGTGGGTAGGCAAAAAGAAAAGGGCCAGCCAGGAGAGGAGCTGGTCGTGCTCACTTGGCGCCTTGCCTAGAGGAGGTTTAAATCGCCACAGAGTAGTAGGCTGGGATCCGAGGAGCCAGGGTCCCTCGAGGGGAGGAGCCTCGAAGTGGGCTCATAAGCTCCGAGAGAAGAGAGAGAGAGAGAGAGAGAGAGAGAGAGAGAGAGAGAGAGAGAGAGAGAGAGAGACTCCTACAGAATTGGTTAAAGGTCTCGTTACCGGAGAACTTAAAAGTTAAACCTGAAGCTGGTGTTTGAGTTTGGGAGGGCAGTAACAAGCCCCGCGCCAAGTGAGCAAAGAGAGCGATGGTTCCACAGAAACACCGGGGCCTCCTCTACTGACCCAGTGCTCCTCCCTGTTCCATTAATCCCAAGACGGCCTTATTGAAAGCTTTGAAAACGCCCGGGAATGGTAAATAGCAGTAGCCACGATAGGTTGACCTTTCAGTGTGGGCCAAGTCCTATGCTAAAAGCTATAACGTGAAAGAACTCATTTAATTCTCGGCTACCGTTTCTGCGTTGCTTTAGAGGTGAACTAGAGAAATGGAGTTGCTCACGGTCACACAACTGATTAGACATGAGACTGGGGTCAGAATGTAGGCGCTGAATGCTAACGCAGGACACTATATGGATAGGGTAAGGGCAAGGAGCTTTCTAGGAACCGTGATGAGATACAGTAGTAAAAGACAAATAAAAGCAGGATTTTCTTTCCGGCTTAATCTTCTTCCGTAGTACTTAAAGGTCCAATGAGGAGTTCTCAGGGAACATTCCAGGCAGGGGTTTGAATATGTATTGTGCCTGGCTTTCTCTTGTATTTATTGAGTAGAAGCGCAAACTACGGGCCATACCTCAAAGTTTATTTTAGAGAAGTGGAGAAGAGAGGTGCATCTGTGTGTTTGGTGGGGAGCTGAGACCACAGGGGTCAGGATGGACCAGGTTAGGCTTCATGAAACCACAAAGACCAGCAGTCCCAGGGTCCTGGGGTTTGGTCAAGGCAGACAACTAGAACTGAGGAGAGAAGGTGGAGACTGGGGGGAGAGAGAGAGCCTTCCATGCAATTGCTTGGTAAGTGCCAGCTAAAAAAAGAAAGAAAAAAAAAAAGACTCAAGGATTCAAAGATGAGGAAAGGGAACAAAGTGAGTCTAGGAATGCATCTATAAGCTAGGTTTCCCAGAGACTGTGAATTGAGAACAGTTGGTAGTGGTGTGCGTGCTGTTGTTCCAAGCCTGCTCACAGAAAGAAGACAGCAAAGAGCAGGTAACACCCAAGAGGAGATAGAAGGGTCTTTAGGGGCTGGATACCTTTATAGGTGAGTCCAGGAGTGGCTGCTTCGGGTTGCTTACTAGTTTGTGTGGTTATCTTCAGTTCAAAGATTACAAGGAAGCAGGGGTGTGCTAGGCACAGACAGACTTCAGAGAGAGAGGGGCATGCTAGGGGGGCATGCTAGGGGGCATGCTAGGGGGGCATGCTAGGGGGGCATGCTAGGGGGGCATGCTAGGGGGCATGCTAGGGGGGCATGCTAGAGCTTCGTTGCATCCTGCTGTTTGCCTGCTATATTGTGTTGATGCAGAACCATTGCAGAACCGTGGGTTTCTGCATGCAGTAATCAACACAGCAGCGCTAGCACGTTTGCCTGGACCCTGTTGTCGTTGGCAAACGGAAAATGAAATATAAGCAGGGAAGTATTTTAATGGGGACGGAGGGAATTCGCAACTGTTAATTATTTGGTGACCTTGTATTCGATTTGTTTGAGTCCCTTATAAAAACACTAATTCATACCAGACGGCCAAGTGAGGAAGCTGGGCAGAAGGTTCCAATCTAGGCTTTATTTCCCCGGAAAGAGAGAGAAACAGCCTTGGAGAGAGTTTGCTAAGCGTGCAAGTGTGTGAGTCTGAGGGGTGCCAGCTGAGGACCAGGCACAGGGCTGGCTTTGTGGTTCATACTGAAGGATCTTCCCTAACAGGATTAACCCAGAGGCCCTGGGGAAAGCCCTGGGAAAGACAAGGGAGTCTTAAACTCCAAAGTTTGTCTTCCTCTTTAGGTTGTAATGATTCAGGTACATTTAAGGTCACAAACTAAGCCATAGGCTTGTACTCAGCACCGTTACTGTCTTCGGATACTTAGGGGCCACCAAGATGAAAACGCACGATGCTAAAAGGGCCTAGCATCTGTGTGGCTAGTGTGCAGGTTGTAGGAGGATTTTTGGCGCGAAAGGCTTGCCTGCCGGCATCAAAGGTAACCCTCCTTTCTGGAGCCTTGAGGCTTTGGAGCTTTTGCCCAGGGTAAAATGGCTGGTGGGGGAGGGGAAGAAAAACGTGCTCAGAAGCCTTCTTCGTTTCCGCACGTTAAGTAAAACAAAATTCCTCCGAGCCACGGACCCTGTCTGTAGGTTTTGTGGACTGCTCCTTTCCTAAATGGATCAGAATCCGAAAGCCATCCTTTCTG